ACTTTGAGCCACTCACTTTCTCACAGCCCTAAGAAGAAGGTAATGGAAAACCATTCCCAAAATCTTGCCAAGGAAACTGCAGGGATCAGTCCAGGTAGTCACCAGGAATCACACTGAGTCAAAAGCACAAACCCTTCCAAGATTAAATCACAGCCTCTTTCCTAGAACTCTGGATTCTTCCTAAGAGCTGTATTTTCTTCCCAATCAATTCTTCACTGAAATAGAGAGAGGTGGGATTTTGACCATCAGATGCCAATATGGAACAAGTACAATCTAAGGGGAAATCTGGTTGGTTGGGCATTCTTTGTAGAAACTTAACTAAGTTTACTTCCTTTGAAGAAGCATTTTCGGGCACATACAGTACCACTCAACCTAAGTTTGCTAACTGGGAAGCAAGTGCCTCTGCTCAGTGGGGCCTGCCTTTAGGTAAGCTTAGATGATCACATCATTTAAAAGCAACAGAACATTCTTTTCTCTTTCTCAATATGGGGTGTGGAAAAAGTGCAAACCACTTTAGAAAGACCAATATTTACTGGCATACTATAACAGATCATTATGGCTTGTATCCGGGGTGGGCTGTGGTGGCCATATATTGCTGAGGTTATCTGCCACATCCAAATAGATGCATTTCCTCGCAGCCTTTAGTGTTTCAAAACATTGAGTTTCTACTAAGCCAAAAAATTCTCAATATCTAGGTATTAACAGGTGAAATCTGAATATTTTGCTCCTCACATCTTTTTTTCTTCCCCATTTCATTAGGGCCAAGTTTGAAGACCCCTGGTCTAGATAATCCTGCTCTACTTATAGATCAATTATTGTATTATCTGCTCTAGATTCTTCCCAGGCATTTATGTCTAACAGAGTGATCAGTAGCCTCCTCCTTTTTCCATTTCTGAAAAAGATTTATTCACCAGTCATAGGTTCCTCAGGATTCTCAACAATAGTCATAAAAAATGGAACCAGATCTTCAAGAGGTGCATTTAGTTCTCTACAAGAGTCTCACAGAATTCAAACTCATTCAAAATGAAGAGGTACTCTCTGACCATGTTTGTACCAGTTTCAAGTTTCAGTCTAACTTCTTCCTATTGGTGAAGATGGAATAAGATAGGAGTTGAGTATTTCTGCTACTTCAATTTTACCATTATTTTTCCATTTAATATTGCAGATAAATTTTTATAAATTCATTATATATTAACATGAAATAAACACCACCCATTTTGTTATTAAGTTGGACATTTGAAAATAACAAAAATGTGCACTTTAATGAAGTTTTCCATAACATTGTTTGATTACTTTTAATATATTTAATACATTTCTTCCTGGTAGGTTCTTTTCTTGATGTTCAGAAATAAAGATGTTTCCAAACAGTTAGCCAAAATTTCACAATTTGCAACCCTTCCACTGAATTTTAGTACTCCCCCCTCCCTCAAAAGAGGGAACATTTATAGACATAGCTGGAGGCATACTGTATCTATGTTTTAAATTGTGACAACCTACTAAAAGAGTTGTGCTTGCTTACTTAGTTGCTTGTCTATTCGATAGCTTGCATGTGAAAAGAATTATACTGGCAGGCATCACATAGAGGTTTTCGCACTTGCCCAGACTTTCAAATTGCATTTTTTACTAAATGCATATAATTTCTAAAGATTATTCCGATATTGTTCCATTAGATGTTTTATTGAATTGTTCATTGTTTTAAGTGTGATTTTTCCCCCAGGGCTTAGTAGTTTCCTGGTTGGTTTTCTTTTCTTTTTTAAATTAATCATAAAGTTCTAATATCTATATTTTATTTTGAAAACTATCTTTAAAATGTTTATCTTTTAAAAAGTTTATAAATAAGTACGTATGAGATTGTTATTAAGGCTTATGGTTAATGTATCCATTAACTAGTAATAATAATAGTAGTAACAACAGTAGATATAACGTCACTATTATATATTCTGAGCCAAAAAATTAGGATTTTTTCTTAATTATCTTATGGAAATTTTACTATTAACATTTCTCAAACATTTAAAATATTCAGTGACTCTTATATAACAATAACAACAATAACAATAGAGTTGGAAGGGACCTTGGAGGTCTTCTAGTCCAACCCCCTGCTCAGGCAGGAAACTCTATACCATTTCAGACAAATGGTTGTCCAGTCTCTTTTTAAAAACTTCCAGTGTTGGACCATTCACAATTTCTGGAGGTGGTTTGTTCCACTGATTAATTGTTCTAACTGTCAGGAAATGTCTCCTTAGTTCTATGTTGCTTCTCTCTTTGGTTAGTTTCTATCCATTGCTTCTAGTCCTGCCTTCAGATGTTTTGGAGAATAGCTTGACTCCCTCTTCTTTGTGGCAACCCCTGAAATATTGGAACACTGCTATCATGTCCCCCCTCGTCCTTCTCTTCATTAAACTAGACATACCCAATTCCAGCAACCGTTCCTTATGTTTTAGCCTCCAGTCCCCTAATCATCTTTGTTGCTCTTCTCTGTACTCTTTCTAAAGTCTCAACATCTTTTTTACATCATGTTGACCAAAACTGTATTCAGTATTCTAAGTATGGCCTTACCAAGGCTTCATAAAGTGGTATTAACACTT